GGGCGCCCCCCCGGCGAACAGCGACGACATCCAAGGCGCGACGGGCATTGATGGCACGGTCGAAGACGCACAGGACAATGACTTCCGCGACGACTACCACGAGGACAGCCGGAGCGACGACGCAGACAGCAACTTGCCGCAACACAACACAACATCGACACCAGCTCGTAGCAGTGATGGCACCAACGACGACAACGACGCGGACCTCAGTGAGCCTTGTATCGAAGACATCCAACGTGCCACGCGACGCGCGATGCAGCTCATGAAGTTCCACCACATAGACAGCCAGGCGACGACACAGAAACAAGGTATGGATAATGGCAGCGACAGTGGCCAACCACGCGCCCACCAGGTGGACATGGAGGACTTTGCACTGGCAGCTTGACGCACATCGACAACACAGGCGCCAGCACAAACGCTGGGATGACGAAGTTCTTGCACACCTACGACGGCACAGGCTGGACCTCCACCCAGCTCCGGCTTCAACGCGCGACGCGGGGCAGCCTGACGACCTCGCGTGGGTTCGAACGAACTAAGACACCACCACGTGGTATAACCTCGAGCACCACTACATCAACACGTAAACGAGCACCACGCCGACATCGACGTCAAGGACTTTCCCCTCCCTCCCTCCCTCCCTCCCCCCATAGCCCCGCCACGCAGACACGCACAAGCATGCCGAGCTTTGCGCCGACACCGTCATCAAGGATCCCTCCCTCCTTCCCTCCTTTCTTGATTTTTTACACCTCTCGCATTGCATGCTCTCTCCAGATACACCAGATGTGATTCCCGCTTTGAGGCTACGGCCTCCACCGCCGCGCCCAAACGGGCGCGTGCGGGCGCCCACGCGGCGTGCGCACGGATCTGGCGTTCGTTCGTTCGTTCGCTCGTTCCCTACCTCCGGGGGCAGACGACCAAATCCAAGACAGATGCGGCGAGGACTTTTTTATCCATCATTTGGGAGTTTGGGACGTGCCCGAGGGTCGTGCAGAGCGATAGAGGCCGCGAGTTCGTGAACGACTCAATGCAGGAGGTCTTGGCGTTGCTCCGTATGCGGCCGTACATCACGGCGGCCTACACCCCGAGGACCAACGGCAACGTGAAAAGGAGCCACCAGCAGATGGCGACGACATTGCGGCTGCTGGTGCACGAGCTCGCTAAGTACTCTCCGGAGCAGGGGGTGAGCTATTGGCGTGCTTGCAGTGCCACCTCCGGCATCACCGGGCTGCTGACAGCCATGTGACACCCTTTCGACTTGTTCACGGTTGGGCGGCAGCGCTTCCGACGCAGCGTTCGCTGGCCCCTTGGGCTACGATGCCGACAGCCACGGTTGAGGATGAGGGGCTCCGCTCGATGGTTCAGGGCTTGAAGGTCATCACGTCTCGCTTCAGGGCCTATTTGGACGACTACGAAGTGAAGGCGGCCGTGGCGAGGGACCGCAAGGCACGCCGGCAGGTTTTCCGCGCGGTTGATGTGGTCATGCTTGAGCGGCCGCCGCGCGCGGGCGACCCGAGCAAGGGCCTTCTCGAGGCGATGGAGGGCCCGTATGGCGTCATCCGCATGATCGGTGAGCACCGCGCGTTGCTGGCGGAGCTGGACAGCGAGACCTTGGTTCCCCGCGTGCCGGCAGGATATCAAAGTATTGCGATTTCTCGTTTGACCCTTGTGCCGACGGCCGTTTGTCGCCCACTGAGGTTGACCTAGAATTTGCCGTCTGCAGAGGTGCCGTTTCTTCGCGAAGATGCCCGCCGACGATGGTCGAAGGCGACGCCTGGCGTGCTCGTGTTGGCCGATGGCTCGAGCGGTGCATGCTTCGGCGAAGTGCGGATGAACTACCCTCGTCGCCTCATGGTCTCCCTGGCTAGTTTTGGCATGCGGGCAGACGGCGCGTGGGCTCGGCTCTAATTGCGTGCCGACGGGTAGGAGACCTCCGAGCCGACGTTGACCGAGTTGCGCGCCGACGTGCCCTACGTGGATCTTCGGGCGGAGGCTCGCTTGTCTGACAGCCGCTTGGACGCACGCACCAAGAGAGCAGCGGAGGCATTGCATTTGAGGTTTCGTCCTCATGCGGCGCCTGCTGCCGAGGAGCCGCCAGCGCGTCCTGAGGAGACAGCCGCTGCTTCGCCGACGCTGGAGGATACGTTTCCGGAGGTGCCCAACATGTTCATCGACAGTTCCTGGAGGCCCACAGTGCCGGCGGCCATGAGCGCCGACGACTTCCAGAAGGCGGACGAGATTATCTTCGACGCGGTTGCCCGGTCGACTGCACGGTACGCTGAGATCACCGTTTTCGAGTTTTGGCAGCTTGCTCGTGCCAGCCCCCACATCTCAGAGGAGGATCGTGCAGCCTGGGTGTGGGTGTGTGCGGAGTGGCGGCAGGCCCTTTGGGTCGAAACCGCATCCTTCACGCGAGCGAGCGGTGCTGCTCACGATGTCGACGTGGCTGGTGGTGCCCCTATCTCGCAGCAGCCGCATCGCAAGAGCCCTGCTGAGGCTGCGAAGTGCGAGTCCCATATACCGAAGAACTTGGCGATGGAGTTTCTGACGCGACATGTGGGGCGTGGACTACACTAGCCGTCGTGGTCCCACAGGCGTCGAAGCCGAACGGGCGCTTGTTGTGCGACTATCGTCGCGTCGACGCCGTGACTCGGCGCATGCGGGGTTGATGATACGTTGCGACGGTGCGCTGGCAGACGGTGGCGTTCCTCGCTGGACGCCGTCAGCGGATTCAATCATCTTCCCCTTGCGCCGCGAGCACGAGAGATTTTGGCAATTTGCACCTTCTCTGGATTGCACGCGTGGGAGTCATTACCCTTCGGGCCATGTGTTGGGCCGCAGGCTTTCCAGGCAGTGATGCGACGTGTCCTCGACGGCTATGCGGCGGACTGGCCGGCCATGTACATTGACGACTTGTGCATTGCCAGCGTCGTGGCT